CTCATGTATCAGTAGAGTGGAGAGTGGATCCTTTACCCGCATGGGACCCTGACAGTTTCGGATCTCTTAATTGTCACGGCTATCACCTTCTATGTGTAACAAGAGGGGCATAAAACTGGGCTGAAATCCCTACCAGGAGGAACTTTATTTCCAAGAGCTTCCAGCACCGAATCAGTGGAGTATTCATGAAGCAATATTTGAACTATTACAAGATGAGGCTGAGAACATCGAGGTTAGGATATCTGTAAGTAAAGAGGTGTCAGGGTAATATAGTTGCTTGTGTTACTCACTGAATTCCAGCAACAGGTTAGAGCTATTCACTTTTTCCCTTTTTCCCTCAGGTTACTTCAGTTCACGGCGCTTTGCTTTTATGCACAGGTAACTCACATTTTCACTTCAATAAAAATCACTAATGTTGCGTAAAGTTCTGTAACTAACTAAGTAAAACTTAACAGTTATTCAGGCGCCGTGCTTAGCAGCTCATAGTCCACCGTCTCTACATCTGCAATGGGCTGCAATAACAATGAAAACATTTTATTATGAGTGCTATGGCAATTGGCAACAATTCAAACATCTTGAAAAGAGGTAAGGTCTAGCCTAAAAAGTAATTGTTAAAACACATGTGGATGGAGAAATGCTGAAATGAGAAAAAAAAAGAAGTCAAGAAGGGGCGAAAGATCATCGAGGGTAAAAGAAAAAAAAAAAAAGCAGGATGAATTATTTAAATATGATGAATGACATAATGAAGTGTGGGACAGCAGGGCAGGGCCCTGGCCGTTTGACTGGCAAGCTTCACAGTTGACATTAATATTTTCAGGCTTTACTGAGTTGCAAAGTAAAATTCTGCGACATTAAAAAGTGATTTCATATTTCATGACATGTGTTTCCCATATTGTCCGACAGAACTCTGTGCAGTCTCCTCCTAATTTCAAGCACCATGTCACCGAGCAGAGCCGGCTGTCGGACCGGATGAGCCGCCGGTTGACCCGAACCTACCAGCTGTACAGCCGCACCAGCGGGAAACACGTCCAGGTCCTGGCCAACAAGAGGGTCAACGCCAACGGAGACGACGGAGCAGTACACGGTAAGAAGCAAACGGCAGAAGAATAAAGCCAACAGATAGGACTGTGTGTTATAATGACAAATAACACAATTAAGTATCAATTAAACCACAGTACAATACGAAGCGGCAGCACGTGAGCAATAAAATATGCAGAATATCGCGAGAATATGTCACGAAATTAACTTTTGAGCATTTTGGTAAATGGCCTAGTTTAACCTTCCTTGAGGTGACATATATAATTACATATTTAAATACAGTTTAAGATAGAATAATATAGCTGAGCAAAAGTTCACATATGTTATTCCATTCAGGGAAAGCACTTTTTATTGTCTCTGAAACTATGAAGCAAGTTTACTTCTTAAAGTCCGTGTGCTGTGGCCAGATCCATCAAAAAGCGATGACAGCTAAAGGCCATCGTTTCTTACATTTCAATGGCTTTAAACCTCAGGAAAACAGTAAAATACGAAACATGTTCACCTTACAAACACGGGAATAGTTTGAATTCAATGGTGCGCGGTGCGGTGCTGAAAAGCAGCATAAATTATGTCGTTTTTGGCAGCCACTCGGAAAATTATTTGAGCCAGGAGAAACAGTAGCAGAAATTGTAAACAAAGTTAGTGGCATCGGTGTTACCATCATTTATGGCCTTATGAAGGTAATTTATTTCTGTAGTGTGTTGGTGGTCTAGAAAGTCCTTGACACCTGTTATGATGGACTTCAGTAGGGACTTTTTTTTTGTCTTTACTTCCAGCAGGAAAAAATTGTCTTAAAGGCAGCAGAATTCCTGTCACCAAAGGATTTTGGTGTGTCTAGCCATCTTTCCACCACAGCCACCACCATCCATCCACTGCTCTATGCCTGCTGCCTGCTTTTTGGAGGCTGATTTTATGAGGAATTTTCATTGCTTTACAACTCAATGTATGACTCAATTTATAAGGAGCGGTGAAGTCAGCATCTTCACTTTATACCTTTTCCTCTCCTTGCCTCTCCTGTGTGCTCTTTTGTCTTTTAAATTTCTCTGCTTACACCCACATTCACACACACACACACACACACACACACACACACACATATACAGATTCAGTCAGTCAGTCATGCACACACTGGCTTCACATCCTAAGTGGGTGTCACTCTTGTAACCGGCCCAAATCTGACCGCTGCTCTGTGCTTGTGGCTGTGTCCCTGACCGCAGTATTCTCACTCTCCTTTATCCCCAGACTGAACTGCATCACAGCACAGCATTTACAGACATTCAACAACAATCACGCCGTGTGAAATCACTATCATTTGATGCTATTTTGGAAGGCTTGCGTGCTTTGTTAAAGGTGGCTGCCGGGTCATTAAATTTATTTGCTATCTTCATGATTCTGGTTCCCTGGTCATGATCTCCTCAAAGCGATTTAATGCCATTTAATGATGACATGATGTAACTCCAGTTTATTACAGTCTCGGCTGCACATAAGGAATACATTCAGAGGAAAGAAGCTCATTTGTCTCACACACTGTAACATAATAATCTGCATGTCTGCACCATGTCAGAACTGTGTCATCTCATTATTTGTGATTTGTTTTGTCTGTGCAGCTAAACTGGAAGTGGAGACGGACTCTTTTGGAAGTCGTGTTCGTATTAGAGGGGTGAAGACAGGATACTACATATGCATGAACAAGAGGGGGAAGCTGATCGGCAAGGTAATCTGGAATTCATAGTTTTGTGGCTGCCTAAGACTACAGCAACATCTTGAAGTTTGTCTGTTTCTTGGAAATGTTAGTCCAGCTTTGCAGCTTATGGTGACACATTGTTGAGACACATTTGAGGCCAGAACAAATTAGATTTTTAGATTTGTCTGAGCAGGCTTCTCAAGGTTTCAAAGGGTATTTGATTAAATGGAAAGAAAGACAATGTTTCTGCTCCCTGGAAATTGTCCAAAGTATTTCAGCGTCTCCCCCTTTCTTTCTTTCGCAGCGGAAAGGACGAGGCAAAGACTGCATCTTCACTGAGATTGTTCTGGAAAACAACTACACGGCGCTTCAGAACGCCAAGTATGAGGGCTGGTATATGGCTTTCACACGCAAGGGCCGTCCGAGGAAGGCCTCCAAGACCAAGCAGCATCAGAGGGAGGCCCACTTCATGAAGCGTCTACCCAGGGGGCACTTGCTGAGTGAGAGGAGACCGTTTGATGTTCTTCCTCTCCCTGTCCCCGCGCACCCTTTCAGCAAGCGGACTAAACATTCCCATCACCAGCGCTCAGGGGGCCGCTGAGGACTGAAACCACTGAGGGAGAACTGTGGATGAACCAGCACAGAAGAACCACTACAAGAGAAAGCAAGTGCTCCAAGCGAAATCAACTTTTACAGTCAAGTTCCCATACACTTTTTGCCTCATTTTGTGGACTTATTATGTAATTCTTTGTACTGGATTGTATGTAAACATTGACTATCTAATCTGCTAGTTATTTCCAATTCAGACAGACTTTAGGAAATATTTTTTTCTCTTATTAAATCAGGGGGCAATTAAAGGACTGAAGAACTCAACTACAGTGACTTTGGTTAGAAGTTAGCCAGCTCAGCAACAAAGAATGTTTAAAAGAGAAGTGAGTACAATGAAGCTAGACACGGCAGCTATCTGTGGATTTTCTTGTGGCTACAGCATCTCAGTTGACACGCTATCTTGCCTTTAGGGGGCCATTTTGGAGAATTTTAACCTGTTTTTTCTACATATATGAATATATTTTTACTGTAAAAATGTAAATTACGTCAAATGATGGAAATATTTATTGTAGAGTGTATATTAAAACCACTAAAGAATCAGTTCACATGGTGCTTGGCTTTTCTCTTGTGTGGTTGTTTTGGGATGGAAAGCTAGCGTACAATGTTGGTTGCCCTCAAAAAAACAGTTGTTTTTTTTTCCTTCTTCTTCCTCAAGCTGGAGACCCAGATAACTGAGGGGCAATATCTGTGACAGGCTACTGAATTCAATGTGCTCAGCAAGTGAGACTTGGGCCTGAATGGCCTGAGCTATGCATTAAAAGCGATGAGGTCAGCCCACCATTTTGGCCCAAACAAAGGTTACCACCATGTAGTTGCATTTCTCACGATCGCACACCGTAACTCTCTGATCAAATGGGCCCTTTGTGAAACCTCATATAAAAGGGCATGTTATACAATAGTGGGTTCGAATAATAACACGAGGAGGGGTCAGTTATCAAAAAGAAGCCAGTCACACAGGGAGGGGTAAGAGGGATGGGGGGGGGGTGCAGAGAGGGAGTTGAGGGGTTGCAGAAAAAGCGTCAGGGCCTGTGTGGCAAAATGTGGCATCGGCTGAAAGAGTGGGAATGGCTGGGAAGAGGCATTCGGGAATGAAAGGGAGGCAGAAAAGAAACCCTCTTCCCAGAAGCAGTTGAGCATGACCATCAGAGGCCAAACGACAGGGGAGGAAGAAGACCCGGCTGCTCTCACAATGCATGAGCTGGATGTCCAATTTGTTAGTTGGTGTTTGCTGCCACAGGAATTTGTTTTGACAGCAGCTCAAGCTCTAAAGACTGTAAAGCATTAAGGAAAATTAGCAAAATTAAGACTTCATATAAACGCTTGGTGTTTAATGCATCTGCTAAACAGCAGAAACCTTTTTCATGTTATATCCATTTAGAATCACCACACGTCTTAAAAAAACAAACAAACAGACAAACACTACCTAATCAAGTATGTATGAATGCATTTTTGCGTTCATTTTTATGAATTCATGTCGAAGTTCCATCAAGACCCTCTCAGGAATTTGCAAAACAACAGGACAGACTGCTTTTAAAATGTTTTCTTGTATTCCTGTTCTTTCCATCTGGAAGAAGACAAAGCACAATAGTGAGGGAGACCTGTGGTTTTGTCTCTGCTTTTTGCACTTGCTCTCTGGGTTTGGACAAGTGGTAAAAAATGCAAGGAATCACAAGGTTGAAACAATCTATATTTAAATGCCATTGTCTCTTTTAAACAGCACCATTCTTTTTTTATCCACTGTCTAAGTATTTCTGACAGGACTTTTTCTTTTTTTAATTGAACTTTGTGAAAAAGTAGACATGTGACACAATGTCACATTTTGAAGCAAGGGTCCATACATACAATTATTTTGTACATGTCATATATATACACATGCCATGAGAAAATAAAGGCTTTTTAAATCATCACCCTCTTGAGTGCCTCAGATTTTGCCAAGAATCCTATGTACACATATAATTCCATATGCTAAAGATGTGAAATTTTATATTTGTCCCTCTTAGACAAGAATATCAAAACAATTTGGAAGACACCTCTGGAACAGTTGCTCCTATTTCTAACTTGTGTCTATGGAGTTTTAGCTGGAGACCACAAAGTCACAGTGACCCTCTGTTGTAATGGGAAACGGTAACACTAGTTTCAGTAATGGCTTTCAGGGTGGCCCACTACATGCATGGAACATAAGGGTATTCAGTTAACACAAATGGGACGTGCTCGTAACAGTGACCCCGGAACGAACAGGGATGAGGCATTGTATGTTTTGAGTGTTTTACAAGGACATCAATGAAAGGAGGGTGGTAGGTTATGTGACCCCCATCAACAGGCTCCCTTGTAGGTTTGGTAACAAGGAGCAAAAAAATAGATGTTGTTGCGATACAATGATAATTTCCATACAAATACTTTATGTGAGTTGTGAAATGATTTTTCTATGAAAAATAATTTGGGAAAACACTCATGGTCCAAACACAAAGTTAATATATCTGCCTGTGAGACTGAGAAACTTGGAATATATTTTACTGAAAATGTCAAAAATGTCAAATATCAAACATAAATAATAGGACAAATTTCAACAGTATCAACTCCAAGAAATGGACCCCAATTAAGAAAAGGTCTTTTGAATAAGGGATTCAGATAAATGAGAGCTCACATGTGACTGGAAAATGACGGTGTGAGGATCTGCTTTAAATGCAACGCAGAATTATTCTCTCGCTCCCACATTCACAATTCACTGACTTTTGCAGTCACCGTCCCGTCCTGCAGTGTCCTTCACTGTCTTCAGCTCCTTCAGTAGCTCCTGCTCAAGGGTTAAGATCTCTTTGGGTTTTTTGTACTGGACAAGAGAGAAGAAAAATAATTACTTCAACATTCTCCCCGTCTCCCTCCGGTAAATCCTTCACTGTAGTCATACTGAAAGACCATACAAAATACAAAGCATATAAAACTAAAAGTGCAATAATTTTGGGCAAAAATTATTATTGTAATGTTAAAAAAAAGCTTGACAGGTGCACAGAGGAAAAACTTGATCACAAAATCAAGAAAAAAAACACCCACATCTTGCCCTCATGATTTGCATGAAATACTTGAACACTGAACAAAGTTACACTTTTATGCACTATCACAGTTTAAAAAGTATCTTATGCAAGTGAGGAGGATGGTTTCTTGGACATTTTCTTTGGTTTTGTAAATTAATTTTTCCACTACTTTTGCTTAATTAATATTGCAAAGATGATACTGTTCAGGAACCTGAATTCAACATTTTAGGTAAGAACTAGGAATCAATCTTTAATACTTGCACCTTTATATTGAAAGAATACGGTTTCATAACATAGGTTTAGATTAATTTTTTTTTTTCATTGTAGTGTAGGACTTACGCTGACAATCAAAGTGTTGTTGGCGTGAGTAAAGCTGAGGGCAGAGCAGTCGAATGGCAGCTGACTGCGATCGAGGTCAGGAATATTGAACTTCTTATAATACCTGGGAAGACAAGGAGAAGATGTGATAGGTTTGTCTCGCCACCGTAGACAAAAGTATTGTACACAGTGCCATCTATAGGGAGGACATAAGGATTACATGCAACAAGTGTACTGCACAGGAAAGATGAGATGGCCAGGGAAAACCAGTGTTCTCATGCATATTTACTTTTTGTTTGAGGTTTTTATGATGATGCATCTCTCAGATGGCTCCACAGAAACATTGAAGACATCTTTGGGATAGGGAAGGTTGCGGATTCTCCACTGAAAGCTGCTCTTTATATCTTTACGCATGAACACAGGCTGTGGAAACAAAATCATTGTTTTCTCTCAAAGGAATCAGAGAGAACTCAAACAAACCAAAGTTCACATGAGAATATGTGGAGGTTAAATTGTATTTCTAGAGTCAAAATGAGAAAAAACTGAGAAGAAAACCAACATTGGAGTAGTTCTCCTTGATCACATCGGAGTCCAAAGATGCGACAGGGCTTGCAAGTGGCTCCCCGACCTCTACCTGCCATTGGCCTTGAGCTCCAAGTGTGCTTTTATGACGCCACTTTCGTACTGAAATGTACCAAATGTTTCACAGAAACAAAGAAACTCATTCCATGCATTGACTGATATTCATAAACTAGTAGCCCCACACAGCAAAACTTGTTGCTTACCAATGAGCTCATCTGTTTTTAAGTCATACTCTTCTGCCATTTCTTTTCCATCTGTGAAGAGGTAGTGAATCTTCCTTTTTCCTGGAGGTGGAATTCATAAACATATTTGCATATAAATTAGAACAGGAAAAAAAATCCTGGAATGTGTTTAATGTAGCACAAACAAGCCATATGGTTTCAGTACTAACCCAGCCTGACGTCTTACCTTTCTTAGGATATTAAGGAATATATTAAGCATTTCTTTTATTTTGCAACATACAATTATTAATGAAATATTGGTCAAATCAAATCAGATGCAATTGCTGTAAATATAAACGAGCACGTATGGATAAAGGATAGTGTTTCAAGGATTAGCATCAAGTGAGCAGAGATGCTAACAGGAAGGTTAGACCAGACTTGTCGATCAGAGATCTCACAATTAGCCGGATGTTTAGTTTCTTTACCTCTTCTTTAGCTCTTTTTTTAGTGCACAACTTTTCAGACATTGTGCTATAGATGAGAGATCACCACCTGCTTGTTGCCTAATAACATTAATGTTAACATGCTAACATTAGCTAACAGTCTGAAAAGAACTAGCTGTTAAAGGCAAATAACTGATTCTGGAAAATAGTTTGTTTTGATCATTAAGGCTAGTTTTTCTTCGTTGTACTCACCGTCGTGTATCAAAGCTGTTTTCTTTGATGATTTTAAGATATTACTCCAGCTCTGCACAGCCATGTCTCTACAGATGTTTCTGTTGCATAGGACCACTTCCGTAACCATAGCAACCAAAATCAACCCCAATAAAAGGACGTATATTTAAATATATGTATATATACATACCCTTTATCTTTTCAAAACGTATCACATACATGATATCGAACGTAGACTTTGTAGTTGTTGTATTAGTTAGCTGCAATTTTAAGCAAAACTAAACCGAACAATTGACCCGGAAGTGAAACGTTTGAATAAATGTTGTCCGTCTGTTGTGATTTCTGTACGTATGGTTCCATCTAAACAGAGGTAAGACCCAAAACATTACAGGTTAATACGTTTTATGCTTAAATGCGCAATAATATTCGAATGTGGGGTAATGAGTTAAAGTGTAGTGTATATATTAAGTGAAAAGAATAATCGAAACAGTCAAAACACCGACTGTGTGCTGTTTCTAGCGTTAGCGTTAGCATAAGCTAAAGGTAGCTAGTTAAGACTAGATAACATGAGAATACAGATGTTTTATGAAGCAGAATTAACTGTTCTGTCAAAGTTACAACCCGAAACAGCTCCCACGGTTGGCTATTCCAGTGTCCAAATTGCTGGAGAAAGCTGTAACTGTACGAGAAGTGTACTACTGTTCTGTACTACCTATAAATTAATACAAAACATTCAGTATGGCAGATATCAAACATCTTGCTCAGTCGTGGCAGTCCCGAAGTACGTTTACTAAAGTACTGCAGGACAGTTTTGAGGTCTTTGCACTTTACTTGAGTGCTCCCACTAAATGCCACGTTACTCCCACACCCCTACATTTTAGAATCCGTAATATTGTACTTTTTTCTGCACTACATCGATGTGACAGCTACAGTCACTTGTTACTATGCACATTAATACCATACTATCACAACAAATGATTGTGTTATTAATTAAAATGTGTTGTAAACCAGTAGTTGTATATTATATATATTGTATATATGTATGTTTATTTTTATTGTATATTAAAATATCGATTATAATATAGCATATCGATATTATACCATTCACAGGGAGAACTCTGTCTGCATGATGTGTACTTTTATATTTGATATTTAAGTACATTACAATGATAATACTTCCATACTTTCACTTAAGTAAGATTTTGAAATACCAACCTTTGAGTATTTTTACAACGCAATATTGTTACTGTGAACTTTACAGAATCAAAAGGAAGTATAAAAAGAAAGAATTAGCAAGCAAAAAGTGTTTTTCTACTTAGAGGTGTTATATTTAAAATGAGTCAGTTTTCCAGTATGAACTCACTACATATTAGTATGCAATGCACATTTGGTAGTACACAGCAAATGTTCTAGATTTGCAGGTGGCTTTTACCCTTTAAACTTATGAATAACTTTATAATTGTGCTTCGTGCCACAGGCCACTGGTGCCCCCCTTTAACAGGAAAGATGGAGCCTCGTCATGGCATCATGAAAGCTTTCCCTAAAGTTAAAAGGGCCAGAGTACTGCAGGGAAAGGATGCACCCCCACGAAAGAAGAAACCGGATGAATGTGATGACACAGGTTGTTATTGCTTGTGCATGTGTGACACTGAGTTGAAGAAAACAGATAAAGATGTACTTATAGCCAGAGATAAATACTTTTAACACCAAAGTAGAAGCCAGGCAATGAAACACATTTGCTCATAGTAATCATGTTCCTCTCCTCTGCCTCAGGAAACACTTTTAATGGTGTCACAGTGTACATCCTGCCTGCTGGAATAGGAAATGCCAGATGCCAGATCTTTCAAAGACAAATTCAGCAGAATGGAGGACAGACGGAGAATTCACTGTGTCCCAGTGTCACTCATGTTGTTGTAGATGACAACATGGACAGTGACAGGGCTCTGCGCCTACTGAAAGTGGATTGTATGCCCTCTGGAGTCCAACTGGTGAAATGCACTTGGTTGAGCTTGTGCATCAGTGAAAAACAACTGCTGGACATAGCCAACTACAGCCTTCTTTTACCAAAGAGGTTAATGAGCTTCTGGTTATTTTGTTGAAAAGACTTGCTTATGTCTGAAAGCCTTTCTTAATTGTATCTGTATCTCATGATCTTTCCAGGTTGTCACATAGACTTGTACGACTTGTACTGCACAGAGACAGTGGCTATATATTAGAAGACTGAATGAGTCATCAATCTTAATGCATCTTTTTATTTTCTGTCCATTTAGGGAATCTGAGACACAACATGCAAATATTAAAGAAGGGTTGCCGGATGTCAAGCCTGCAGCAGAAACTATTGTAGAGCCAGTGTCTCATCAAACTAACGAAGGAGAGACCATAGACATGGTAGGTTGCCAGGTCTTGTGAAGAAAAGACAAACTGAATTTGTTTGAATTTATCAGGTTTACCAGTCTTTCAGTAAGTAATCATTTGGTGCAACTGGGGACAAAAGTTAACAGATGAACGCATGAAAACAACAAGTCTGTGTGTGTTGGATCGTTATTATAGTTTTATTTTAATCTTACTCATAGACAGTGCCAGTTACCAAAGAGGAACTGCGAGGAGATGAAGATGGTGTCTCTCAGAGTGACCTGGAAGCGCTCATCACTGGCCAGCACCCCAAAGAGGAGACTCCTAGCCCCAGCCTCACCCCCAGTCCAGACTCTTCTGCTCAGAAGGCAGTCTTAGGGAAGTGGGTCTGTGCCCAGTCCTCTCAATCCAAAAGTAATAACTTCAACAAGCACATCACAGACAAACTTGAAGTGCTGGCCAAGGCCTACACCCACCAGGGGGACAAGTGGAGGGCGCTGGGCTACTCCAAGGCTGTCAACGCACTGAAGAGTTACCACAAGCCTGTTACATCATATCAGGTTATGTCGTGCAGATGCTTTTAATATTATGTTGTTGGTACTGTCAGTAATTTGAACTGTTGTTGGATATACTGTAGCAAGTACTTTTTGTTGAATGACGGATAACACTCAAGCACACAGATTGTTTTAGTGTACACTATTGGAATTATTTTGTTTGTATTCCATTTTCAATGAAAACCTTTTTTCCATTTGTTTCAGGAGGCTTGTCAGATTCCAGGGATCGGAAAACGAATGGCTGACAAAATTGATGAGATCATGGAGAGCGGTCATCTCCGGAAGCTAGATCACATCGGGGAGGCTGTGCCAGTACTGGAGCTTTTCACTAACATTTGGGGTGCAGGAGCTAAAACTGCACAACTGTGGTACCAACAGGTAAGGCAAATACACACACACACACACACACACACACACACACACACACATAAAAAAGACTGTTCTCAAAGGGTATTCACATCAAATCACAACTTACAACACAGTGACATAATATCTTGTAGCCAGCTCTTGTCTCTTGTCTGATAAATCTGCTGGGCTGATATAGTGCTGATATTAGCTTATTGACTGTAAACTGGTGTATGTCGCATGATTAAGGAGCAAGAAATTTCAGTGTAGAAATGCTAAAGAGGTAATTAAGAAACAATGTCTCCATGACATAATTTGCACACCAGACAGCACTGATAAGTTTATTTTCAACCTCAAAATGTCCTGCTCAGTACTTACTACTTACTCACAGCTCTTTAAAATCCAAATTTAAGAAAATGTTAATTAAAAGGGTTTGTTTATATTATGTTTTTGAAAATATATATGGTTATATGGTTGTTATTGGATTTGATTTTCTGAATTCTCAAATACTGAAATATCACTCTCACAAATCCAGAATCAGTCTGGCTTTTGTTTTCATGTATTTTGGAGCTTCTTCATCTGAGGCTTCTGTAAAACAATGCCTTATCAAAAGATTACAATAAAAAAAGCAGACATAATTTAATTGCAATTAAATGAATAACTAAGGCAAGAAGGAGATGGGAAGCAAATGTATAATATATAACATTATGTATTTTTTAAAGGTTTTTCTGTTTTTTTTTTTTTAAAAAGAAAAATGTTATTTGTATACCAGGGATTTCGCTCTTTGGAGGACATCCGCACAAAAGCCCACCTGAGCAACACTCAGAAAATAGGACTGAAGCACTACGATGACTTTCTAGACCGTATGCCCAGAGAAGAAGCAGCAGCCATAGAGAAAGTGGTAATGCATCTTCATTTGTCACAATATCTACATGTAACATTTTGTGATGATGACTGAAATATGTTTACTTCTTTCAACACTTCAAAATGTTTACTCATACGCATAGAAGTGAGATATCTCTGAAAAAGATTCTGCCTCTAACCTTCAGAAATTTGGAAGCAGTAGGCTTAAAGTAGGAAAAAGTTTGTGTCAGCTTTCCTTGACTGCTTGATAATGGGAAAACCAGACTGTATCCTCACAAAGTGGAGCATCCCAAAGGGGAAAACTAACTCTTAAACTTGCTGCATCTTAAGTTAGCCAGATACCTGTTCGCTCCAGAGCGTTGCATACAACGCTAGTTGTTTTCAGATAGTATTACTTGGATTTTCTTTTTCCTTCAAAGCTGCCAAATAGAAAGTGCACAGGAGACAGATGACTAAAGCATGTGTACTCCCTCAGGCTTGTCAAAATAAAATGTGATGCTTTAGTGAGCCTACCTCCCAGTATTTGGCTGGGAACAGGTAAAAGCTTACTTGTTCGCCAGTGGAAGGGACACAGTAAAAAAGAGAGAACATTCAATTTAAACACTGTTATTGAGAGTCCAAAGATTAAATAGATAGATTACAGCTTCTATTTTGTGTCTTTTTTTTCTGGGTATGTGCAGGTGAGGGATGCCACCCAGACTATAGACCCAGGCCTGGTGGCTATGACATGTGGCTCCTACCGTCGGGGAAAAGCCACATGTGGAGATGTTGATGTACTTATATCTCACCCTGACGGCAGGTCCCACAAGGGTATCTTCAGCAAAGTGTTAGAGATCCTCCATGACAGTGGTAAGCTCCATCTTTTTTAGGTGGAACAGATTTTCTCATGTCTTACTAGGTTTGTTTTCCCTGAGAGAAACTGGAGAAAAAAACAACAGTTTTTGTTCCCAAAGGGTTTCTGACAGATGACCTGGTTAGCCACGAGGAGAATGGAGAACAGAAGAAATACATGGGTGTGTGCCGCTTGCCAGGACCCGGCCAACGCCATCGCAGGCTGGACATCATCGTAGTGCCCTACAACGAGTTTGCCTGTGCTCTCATGTATTTCACCGGGTCAGCACACTTTAACCGTTCAATGAGAGCACTGGCAAAGACAAAAAACATGAGTTTATCAGAGCACTCGCTGAACCAAGCTGTGGTGCGTCAGGGAAACTTTAAGGTATATGGCGGCATTCCACTTGCTACACTAAGAGAGGAGGATGTTTTTAGTCTTTTAGGCATACCATACAGGAAGCCTCATGAAAGGGACTGGTGAAAATTTATCAATCACAATGCCATGCCTGGTTTTATAGAAAAATCATGATGATGAATGATGACAATGGAAAACAGCAATTATGCTCAAATAACTAATTTTAAGGATGTGTTACTGCTCCACTGATCACATAAGAAACCTGTTTGACTTGAATGCTATTTTTATTATACAGATAAAATGTTGGGTTAACTCAAATCTCAAAAATAGTATATCTTCTTACTTTGTCTTAGCTGTATCTGTTCCTCCAGCTTGTTTAAGCTGTACATGCTGAGGTTTTCAAGTTATCCACCTCTGAAACTTTTACTGCAATATATATTACACAATAAAAAACAATTAATGTAATTTTGTTGTCGTTTCCGGAGCCTTTGATTTTTATTTTGTATGGTCGGTTTATGGGTTAAGCTGAGTAACTGGGAACATTGTAAAAAGATATATTATAAATATCAGTTTTGTGATAAATAAATAATAAATTTCATCATTATCAGTCATACAAAGTATACAGCAAAAGTTTCAAAGATGGATATCTCCAAAGCTCAGCAGGTAAATCTAAAACTATCTGCAGGACTAGATATCATCAGAGGAAAGTGAAAAAATATGATTTGGCAAGTCGAGTGAACTCACCCCTTAAATACATTTTAATATAGGAAGTGCTTGATATAGTATATTTTATGACAGACGAATAATGATAATAAAACATGTTGAAAGATAATAGCAGATCTCTTCCTGTGTCACTTTTCAGAACGACATCAATTTGACATACTGGGTATAAATTTGACTGCCCTTTGACTTTTATCACTTTTTATTCTAAGTACAGTTTAGTAACAGTGGATAAACCTAAAAGGTTTTGAAGCTAGATCATAAAGAAGGGCAAGACTGACTTTTGAAAGGTGAAGAGGAAGAAGGCGAGGCCAGGAAAATAACAAGGCCATGCAGTAGAGACGCACCGATCAGTGATTGGTCAGCCTCTTCCCAGTTGGCCCGGACTGTCCAATCGCGGGTCAGTCCGCAAAACCAGTGGCGATTAACGCAACTGTACGCATATCACGTTGCGCACATGGATCGGGTCGAGGAGACCACGCCACACCCAGCAGACCGAGGCAGAGTGCCTGTGCTGGAGGAACGGCTTGTGTAACAGCTGTATCAGCCAGTCGCACCGAAAGCAACCAGTTGCGCCAGCACCGTGCCTTGTTGAAATGTCCAGTACGCAGAGGAGGCGGCGCATGCAGCGGCCTCTCAGCGCGACAGGGGCCGATAACTAGTAGAGGATATTCGGACACAGTTTGTGAACAACGGTGTTTACATGCTTGTGTTTTTACCGCAGCTGTAGCCACTTCTTGGAGGAATGAGAGGCCTATGTTCGGCTCTAAAAATGGGATTGTTTTTGCACGCCGTTGGCTCTGTCACCCCCACCGAGTCCGCAGTAGACAGGGTAAGGTTGAGCAGTCAAAAACAAGGCTCTCTCACAGGGCTGTTAGCTAGCTAGTTACGCGTTAGCAAACTGTCCAACTAGAAATGTAGCTTAGTAAGTCCAGTCCATTATTGCAGCATGTTATATCTGTTATCGTTAGATATTGTTTAGCTTTGACTCATACTGTGCTGTCAAGACAGCCTAGCACGTTTGCTAAGTTCGGCTGTTAGCTGCTATAGCTAATGTACCTAGCACAGCTGAAGTAAAGGGACTTTCAGTCTGGGCCTTGCTCTGTAGTGTTTATGGTTGAGGGTTGACATTTTAGCTAGAAGTGAGTTGCATAAACAACAAAAGCAGTTCTTCAGGTATGAATACAGACACACAATGACTTCTCTAATTATCTTTGCCAGCAAAAGAGAAAATGTCTTTTGTTATCTTAGTTTCTTAACATATAAGTTAATCTTCGTCAAGATGTTAATATTGGTGTGTTGAAATTGATTAAGTTATAATCTAGCAATATCTCGCAGTTTTATATTTTATAGAAATTACTTTTTTTCAAAGGGAATTATTATTGTATTACCATGCATTGAGTTATCTTCTTATGTACAACAGTTTCCAGTCATTGATCTTTGCAATAACAAGACACTGATGATTCACAGATGATGACAGGGTGCTTGAAGTGTGATGATGATGTATAGGTGGCTACTTCTAAATTAACACCTCTAGTAGTTAAAAGAAAGTAATCAGCTTAAAATCATATTCCATTCTCAAAATTGATTGCACCAGCCAAGAGAGAGTGAACTTGAAAATAGTTTTTTAATATTCTCTCTGATGCTGCATATTTGGAGACATGCAGTGGCTGCAATATTAAATATTGTTTTGTTTGTTATGACTACACATACCCATGTATAATTTGAGTGGGTGGGTAAATGTTTTTAGTCAGCATCCCATACTGTTTCTAATCAGCATTTGAATTTCATGTAATACAGAGTATATTTAGTCAGGAATTATTCTAGATCATATGACTGCTCAGCATAGAGAATGTAAAGGGCATGCACACTGATTTAAAATCTAGGCATTTCATGTATTTTTGATATGCTAAGGATCTGTTTGAAAACCAGACAAAGCGGATATTGAGTGACTTCACCAGTGTGATGAGGAAGTGATGAATATGAAACCACAAACCTCTATTCTACAAAATAAGACCACTTCATAACTGAATGCAGAAGCACAGCATATTCGTTTTGTATTGTATCAAGAATTTCTGTGGCATAAGAGATGCGGTAAAAACACTCAAAGCATTCTTGTGGTTCACAGACACAAGGATGCATCATAACAACTTCTCCATGAGCTAGACTGTGAGGAAGAATAAATTATCATCCAATACACAGTTCAAAAGATTTTCTTAATGACCCAGATTTAATACATTATCATCCACTGCACTGCTGTTAACTACAAAAACGTACAGATGTCAATTTTCTGGGTCCAAAGCGTATCAACCAAAGCTTTGCAGGGAGTTGCGTTGCAATTAATGTAAATATTAGCTATTTGTCCTGAGAAAACATTTCAGTTATCACCCATATCAGAACCTGACCAGTCCTTTCATACAAGATAACACTCTCTTTGTTTTATCAGTAGCTAATGTGCTAAAATATCTCTGAAGGTTCACATACGTGCTAAAGTTTAAAGTTCCTCTGCTCTGGAAGAACCCTGCTCCTGAAGACATCAGGGCACAAGGGTCAAAGTCTAATAGACTAAGTTGGATTTCTTCTTTTTTTTTTCTCTTTAGGCAATAGCTTCAGTTACTATGATTATCACATGCAGTATCATCTGTTTGTTATCAGTGCACACTCGTGTGCATAAACCATAGAGTTATTAAACAACGCTTATTTGTAGACAATTATCATTATTTTGAAGAACAAGTAGTAAAATGATGCCGGGGATCAGAAAGTATGTCATTTGATGGTGCATGTAAGCCTGACAGCTCCTGGTTACTGGGAAACAAAAGTCACATCACATGGCCCTGAGTAATATCCGCTATTTGCATTCAGACATTATGATTAATATTTTTCATCTGCAGTTCACCTTTGTACAGTCTAACATTTGAGAAAGGTGACATTCACTCTCTAAAACTAAAAAAATGTTTAAGGTGATTTGCAAGGGACACAAAAACCAAATATTTTCCTGTCATTGACTGACTTTTGTTTTAAACAATGACGGAAAAATCTGAAGGCCATCGCTTATTTTGACAGATCAGAGCAGAGTTAGACGACAGGTTCTGTGGCATCATGCTCACATAGGCAGTGGTGTAGACCTTTTCCGTATTGCGCACAAAGTACACAGAGTAATTAACTCCCCTTGGAGCAACACGTCTCGCTGTCTGCATGCTGACAAGGCGTTGAAGAGCTACACACTGGGGGCCTTGGAGCACATCTGTGACCACTATGGATCACGGAGGGGTTCAGCGACACTCTTGGTGCAAAAGGAGCATATGCTGTGGGATTTCCTCCCAGTGAAGCGAGTGCTTGCAGGATCATGAAATCCTACCTTCAGAAAGTCTTGCTGACTTCTGAGCTCTTCCCTGGGAGAAACTTTCCCCAACTTCCAAACTCTGGCTGAAGTAGCGCTGTTAATTCCAGTGTCCATTGTGGCAGCAGAGCACGAATTCAGCCCTCAGAACAAAATCACAGCCATGAGAAGTCGTCTGTGTGGCAAAGATGCAAAACCTAATGAATGCAGCAAACTCACTAGGAGCAAACTCTTTCATATTGTTATACTGTTTTCACATTGTCATTTGATACATTACAGCCATTAGAGCTTAGACCATTAGTTGATTAGTGGATTGAAATAAAACTATTCTGCAACTATTTTGATAATCAATAAATTGGTAAATTTTTCAAGCAAAATAGTGCGAGAGATAAGATAACAAAACTTTTCTGGTTCAAGCTTCTCAAATGAGATAATTTGTTGCCTTTCTTTATCTTAAACGACAGGAAAGTGAATATTTTGGGGTTTATTGACATTTAAAAACATCATCTTTTGCTTTCGAATATTGTCACTGCTTCTGGCTGTTTTATAGACCAAAAAATTTATTAATCAAGAAAATAATGGGAACATTCATCGATAATGATAACAAGGGATCATCTTATGATGGGATCACACCAGCTACGACGCTCGTCAACATGCTGGCGTTTCGACTCAGTCATTACTACATTATTACTTCATTATACTTATAGGTCAGACCACACCCATCTTCAAACTCGGCCTTCATTTTGATCTCAACAACAAAAGCTGTATCTTGAAAAGTTATGACGCTTTCAGAGTGATAAAATCTGTCTACAGACATAAACACCTGCCAAAGTACTCAAAGCTGCCTCGGCGGTAGTTCCTGCTACAGTAGGTGTCCCCAGGGCCACATTTTTTCCATGATGATACACACACACACAGACTAACAAGGTGAAAACAATACCAACCACGTGGTAATAATTGTTTGTTGCAGCACAAAAAAAAAAGCTGCTTGAAGGCAATGATAATCATGCAGAGTAGCGCAGCTTGTTTTGGTAGGGTGTAGATGGGAAGTCCATCCATCCAATGTTCTGCTTGACCCTGCCAGTATCTGGTTTCAGGACACTGGTAATGTTGGCATTACTGAGCAACAGCGGTTCTCTGTCAAAGCTAAATTGTGGTTATTTAATAGCGACAGCTGGAGTTTGTCTAAGTCTTGTATCCTTAAGTGAAGCGTTAGCTGCTGGCCAACATACTGTATGTTCTAACTTTGAGATAAAATTCATCAGTTCACAAGTTTGTTAAACTATCCTCCTCAACTGTTGAAATTTAGAAGACGCTCTCTGAAGGAATCTGCAGTATAACGGTTGCTACAAATACTTCAGCAGTGTTTTGTTCCACATAACCTTAATGACTATGTAAGAGCGCCTTTCTTTGTTACAGGACAGGATAATAAAGAACGGGTCACCGAGGTCTTTGCTTGCATCGGCTAACTTGCCAAGTCCTACAGGCCCGTGCTAAGTAGATCAGCTCTGACCATGCAGTCAAGAATTAACTAAGAACTGTAGCCACTTATCTTCAGGAGCAGCATTCGATAGTCGCTGGGGGATTATTAAACTGTTCTCATTGTCTGCTCATTTCAACAGCTTCTCATTATTAAGGCTGATTATTTTCTAATGCACCAATCATTTCTGGGACGGTAACCAAATCCGCTTTTAATCTGGTCGTACAGCATGAGAGAGGTGGATTTTTTCATTGTTGCCTGTTTGGGCTGGAGACAGAGGAATCTAGTCTGTCCAGATTCTTCACTCGGCCACTGTCTGTCAGGAGAAGTAAATACGAACAGCTAGAAACGTTCTCAAATGACCTAGATTTTTTCAGGTTCAGTTGTTTTTATTGATTGACTGTCACTGCAATCATGTTAAAGATTAGAGGGAGAACTTTTTCTGTATGAAGGACTGTTTGTGAAATCCCGACCCCCTTCAGTACATGGTTGTCCTTTTGCAGCACAGACCGAAGACCCAAACAAACTAGAGGGTTATCTGTATCAAATTGCAAAAAGGGTCCAGCCTGCCCAGTGGAGAGCATGTGGCGCAGAATAGTTAGTGAGCCAGTGAAAACAGCTTAAGTTATCAGAGACAAAGTGGAGGAACAGAACATCATGTGTTTATTACAGAGAGTGAAATCCCTCTGTGTTGGACAAGGGTTTTAAAAACATGTCATGTTGATAAAGATTAAACAACTGATGAGGAATGATTAATCTGTCAGGTTTGTAGTTGTGGCCACATTTAATGTCAGCAGTTTGGTTTGTGCTGTTCCAGTGTGTCGCGTGTGACTAATCATTCCTGTGTTACTGCTCTGTGTCTGGGTCTCTCAGGTCTGGATTTCTTGCCCTTCTCTCCCTGCCTCACACTTTGCACCGCCTGTGTACGCCTTATTAGCAGCTAGGGCTCGGCTAGGAGCTCGCTCTCCACTGCTGCTTGGAAATTTCCGTAGAGCAATCCTTGTCCACTGTTCGGATCTGGATTGGAGTGGGGCGAGGGAGTGTGTTTGTGTCAGTGTGGGTGGGTAGGGTGGACAGAGAGAGAGAGTGAGAAGGGGGGGGGGCGGCAAGGCGGGAGAGAGTGAGAGTATGTTTGAGAGCTGTTTGACTTTTCTCTTCTATGGGATAATGACCCATGAGGTGGAGGGGACTTGTCTGAGATTTTTGGACCCTGGATCATCATGCCTCTCAATCTTGGACCTGCACTGGTAATCTATAGAGAGAAAAAACTGCATAGAACGATGGGTAGCTAATCATTAAGCTAATCTATGAGAAAACATCTGAAGGATCCACAGACCTTTCTCATGAGAGGATTTTGATAACAGTGCTCCCTTGTCTTTTGACTCTATAGATCTATGTGGTCTGATTGTCATGTAGCCCGTGTCCTTCCACAACTTAACTTTTCACAGCTATGATATTAGCAATGTGCTTGAAATGGTAACTTTTGACCAGGCAGAGCTGCTGGTTTGGTCTTTTGACAGTTAATTGTAACATTGGAGCGGAGACAGATGCCTTATCGATTTTGGAGGGAAATCGACTGTTGGGCCAGATGCAATCTGACATTTTCCAAGTTCTGATTAGTTCTCAGCCAAACTTTTAAGTTGAAATCATGTTTCAGTTCTCGGGCAACATACTGAGTGGTTTGGTGCTGGCTGCTATTCAAAAATTTGCACTTGATATGGGTCTTAAACACTGATGAAATTCTAGCAGCTTACCAGCACAAGTGGCTAGGACTTGTTTACTCCAGATCCATAGCTAAGTATAAATGTTGGCTACTAGATATCTGCAGTGTAATCATTATTATTCTAAATCAAAGACCAGGGCTCGCCATGTAAAAAGAAAAAAAAAAAAAATGCAGCGTCCTAATTCTGTACTACATACTAACTGTACACAAGATGTACTACATGCTAATCTTTGTAGTTTTACTGTTTGTTGTAGTTGGTATATAAGAAATCAAAATACTTTAGAAGGTCTGTTTGCTATGATCAACTCCTTTTTCGTCTCCTCAGATCTCCTTGTTTTCAGTTTTTGCAGTTTGGAGTAGTGCCTCCATTTCCTATGTGCATTGCATTGTGAGACAGTATAGTACATCAACAGCACTCTCCAAAAAAAGAAAAAAAGAGTTAATTTAAGTGGGCATACTGACCATCTTTGAGTGCACTATGTTTTTGTTTCTCTAGTGTGTACTTAGTGCGTACCATACTTCTTAAAACCTGTTTAGAAATGTTACATGTGGAACTGGGCCAAAGTGCATGTTTCAGTGGACTGAAGAAAAGAGTGAATGATGATCAAGCTCAAAAACTCCCTAAACAAAGTGTAGACCTCTTATACAGTAGGAAAAGTACAGGTGTAAATAAAAAGAGCAATGGCCGAATTCCGTGTAGGTACTATGGTTTCATTCGCTGCATGCTGGCTCATTGGGACGATTAAATAGAACAGTTCCATTGTGAAGATTATTAGCAACACCTGTCGTGTTTCTGCTATGACAAGTCAAAATGTCTGCTATGAAAATAGCCTGTTGTTTTTATTTTTATTTTACAGTTGATTCTAAATGAAAGCAATAGAGTGGGCACTCTATAAGTGACCAACAAGCGCCATCAGTTGTAAGAAACTTTAACATGATAGTAGTAGCACTTTGAGCCACATCAGGGGAACATGGCGCTCCAGCGATGACAGTTAGTTGGTTTGTCTGTTCGAGCCACTTGGGTCGTGTGGGCTGTGAGGAACAACATGGGTTTTAGTAGTTGACATGTTGTTATCTCGTGTTTATCAGTGGACCACAAAATGACCAGAATGAGAAATCACATTGCCAAAATAAATATAAATTAAGCTTGAATTAGTGGTGTCGCAATATGCCAGTACTGATGACACCTGTGATATTTAAAAAACGAAATATTGATATTGTGCTAATAATACACATGATAATATTGTGATGGCAGATGATAAGCCTTTTGGATCTTTAGTTTATCTTTTGTATATCTCGTTGCCATGGTTACAGATTCTCTCCAGCTCCCTGCTTCTCTTGAGTCTAATTCATTTGCCAAAAAAGAGACAAAACACAATAAACAAAGTTAGAGATGAATTTCACTGATAGTATTATAATTATTATTATTTTTATTTTTTTTTTAATTTTATTTAGATTTAATGTTTCATGGATTCTTTTGGCCACGATAATCGTGAAGTGAAAAGCTGATATCGTGACAGCCCTAGCTTGAATGAAACGTATACTCCCAAAAATGTAAGGACTAGAATAAGTCAACCTGAAAATGAACTGAAACCAAATAAAACTGATTTAAACATGACAACTGAACAGCGTAAATATAATGCATATTGCAAATGTTCATAATTCCGATGGTCGCTACATGTGCATTTTCTGAGTGAAGCGGATTCTCTGCTAGAGTGAGAAAAACGTGTAAATGCTGATAGCAGCGCTGCAAAAACACACACAAAAATTGATAATCAATATTAAGGCCTCAGGTTACCATTTTATTCATCATTGCTCACAGCTCAATGAACACTTGGCTGTGCTGTGTAGTTACTGGCTGAGAGTAACATAATGCTTGTAATGTGTTTCTATTGCTATTAAAATCACTTTTCACTCTTTTATTACACACTGATCATTTCAACTTCACTTGTCACATAGCTTCAGAAAACAGCTGAAGCTGAGGCAGCGATGGTTTAGGTTGTGGCATCATAAAGGGGGCAAATATTTCACAAATAAATCATGCTTTGGCAGCCCTGTGTCAGGAAGTAGAGTCAGTCCTCTGCTAATCCCAGGGGTTGTGGTTCAATCCTCAGCTCCTCCTGCCCACACTGACGCCCAAACTGCTCCCACCCAGCTGTTGGTCCAGTACCTTCCTTAGTAGCTCGCTGCCATCAGTGTGTGTGAATGGTGAATGAGAGGCAAGATGTAAAGTGCTTTGGATAAAAGGGCTACATATATTTAGCTTTTTACCATTGTACTTTTTAGTCGGACTTGATGTAGCTCAATTTAGAGGACAATTTTTACTTTGGCAATAAGCAATTTATCTATTGATTATTGGAAAAACACACATTTTTGGCACTGCACATTGTAACTGGACTCCTCAAAATGGTTCATTTTTTTTTAAAGTTGAGATGTTGACAATACATTCCTTTTAAAGTGGCAGTGTTTCTCCTGCTTGTCTTATAGAGCCTACTGCACTGTGAAGGTGTTAACAACCAGAGCTACGTCTGTGAGTCTGGACACTGCTGCGGAGAGTCTCAGTGCTGCAGCTACTACTATGAGCTCTGGTGTAAGTATCCTGTTTGTCCTTCATTTGTCTTTTTCTTTACCCCTTGCCCTCTCTCTCCATATAGGCACTAATACACTGGATTTGACAGAACTGGTCTGTGATGATCTACTTTGTGATTCACCTTAGATCTAAGAAAAAGAGAAAGTAGAATAGGATAGATCATAAGGGTTGAAATACAGAGATGCATCTTTCTTAATTACTTGTATAAGAACTGAGTCCAGAGGATGTGACACACATTGTGTGATGCAGAAAAGTGTTGACAGGAATCCTGGTCCCAAAAAATGAGAGAAAAAGTTTCATGAAATATTGAAATATTGCGTCATCCTCAGAGCTGTCATTCGACTTGTTCTCATGGCGAGAACAAACTGTCAAGAATTATGTAACGGCCAGCAAAAGGGCTGCATACATGACAAGATAAGGTGGTTTGGATAGATGGTGGTTAACAGGTCAGAGTATTTAAGAAGAGCCTGCTGTAAGCACTCGACGGAGGTAAACTGCAAGATGATAGGTGCAACTGAAATGTTAAGAAATATTAAGATTGATTTAACCATTATATGTATATAGACATTTATATAAGAGAATGAAAATGTCTGTAACTCAGCTCTTGTCCAGTCTTGCTGGAAAGGTCGGCCCAAGGACAAAGACTGGGTCTGGGATTCGGTTTAGGTTTTTAGAAATAAGCAACACTTGACCTGACTTCAGAAGGATTCATATTATGACATTAACTGTTTATCGATGACCTGATGATTTCTGGATTGGATATAACCTTGTTTCTCCAGAATTTGCACAGTGTGAAAGAAGTTGGTAATGAGGTATGGCAGACATTACTATTGTTTCTTGAAACTCACGTGGAATCGGTATATCTTGGGATATCAGTACAGTGCATCACAAGAAAAGATCCACTGTAGTATCGTATTGTATAGTTTACATTCTTATTTCTCAGAGACGAAGGCTGCCCTTGCCCTCTCGTCCTTGAAGTGACGTTCTCCACATTTTGTCAACGTAGTGGCGTGTGTATTTCAGACACACAGTAAACACAAACTGGGTAGTTTTTGAAGTCTCACTCAGTTTTGGTTCTCTGCTGCTGTTTAGACTGGACTGGATAGCACAGTTTCACAAATAATTCCTTTGAAGAAAATTAGGACTTCATGCCTTATTCAAAAAAGTACAAAATGTTCTTAAACAATCACATTGTGATGGGATGTTCATGTCATGAAGAACTCCATCTAGAGATGAGTTTTCTCTTAATGTGTTTTATTATTATTGTTGTCCTCCCAAGATTTCAACATTTTGGAAATTAATGGCTCCCATTATCTTTTGGCATTTATTTTCCTGCTAAGTTGCACTAAAACAATCCAGTCAACATTTATAAATATGAGCAAATGTCTCCCAAAGTGAGAAACTGGAGAACTCAAGAGTTCAGCATGTGATACAGCTGTCAAATAAGGGGGATGCTCCATAGTGGGAAAGACTGTAAAACTGTCAGTGCTTTGTCATAAAGATACGAATCCAATGATGGTTCAATTGAAAAAATGTAAACAGCATAAAATTAAATTCTGTGATGAATTGCATAATACAGTAGATACAGTATGCAGGCATGTGAATGTTTCACTATGTTAGAACCAGATGTTGGCAGTATTTGATCTGCGGTGTTATGTGTGTGTTAGCAGCAGGGGCTTTATGTTACATCACCACATTAGCACAGTTAAATATTATGGATATTGTAGAGCACAGTTTCTCCTGTGTAAACATTTAAAAACATCAAACAAGACATTTTACCTATTTTGTAGGAGCTCCACTGTAAATACAACATGTCTGTGTTGGTTCTTCGCTCCGCAGGGTTTTGGTTGGTGTGGGCAATCATCTTCATTTTGAGCTGCTGCTGCGTGTGCCACCATCGCCGCACCAAACACCGGCTGCAGCAGCAACAACGGCAGCACGAGATCAACCTCATAGCTTACCGTGAAGCACACAACTACCCCTCTGTGCCCTTCTACTTCAGTAAGAGCTACCACTGGCACATGATAAAACCTGATGTTGATCATTTTTTGTGTTGTATGCAAGTTATACACCTATATGAACTCTCTTTATGAATGCTGACGGCAGTTATTCAGATTTGAGTATTTAAAGCTCAGCATCAGCAGCAGACAGAAAAAGTTAACAACTAGGCGGAAAACGGGTGAAGTGCTAAAGAGCCAAATATCACCCTCAGGAGTTGGTGGAGACCAAAACATTAAGGAGAGTGAATATTGGACTTGTACATTTACGGGGTGGCCAGAAACCCGACTCTAAATGAATGCCCCTCCATGTCTGTTGGATGTGTAAAAAGGCAACTCTTTGCTGGAATTGCCACACAGAACACACTATTCTTACCCCGGTAAACATGTTTGCAAAAGCATATATTGATACACTGATTGCACCCTGATTTCAAACCAGTGCACGTCTGCTCATAATGTGTATGTAAACTGTTGGGACGCTTGTTTGACATCTTTTTCTTTGTTGGTTGTTTGTTTAAAGTATAATGTCTCATCAGCAATTTTCCAGCTACATCAAACTGAGATATATAACACAAGTGACAGGCAAAGCAGTGGCTCCTGACTCAAAGGTGGTGGTGCTTGGCTCAAATGTAATGTTTGCACATGAGATCCATCCCTGGTTTCACACAGTGTCAGAACCTTTCCTGTTTGCATGCCCCAGTTTTCATGAAACAGCCAGCATTGCTCTCTTGGTACCTTGCCAGTGTTGCAACATCATCTCACACAGTACTGCAACGGCCCTCAGCACAGAATTGACCCAGAAATGAGCTTGTTTTGTCACATTTTCCCCCTATTGCGTTGGGAATGCTTGAATAGTGGTGTTGGAAGTTCAGTGAGGTCACACTGAAATTTGTGCGACTCAGACAGTGGTGTTTATTTAAGAAAGACTATCCCATCTAATTGTTACTTGCCTTGCAAAACGTATCTTGTAGATTTTTATCTGTGCATATGTAGATTTATGCTTTTCTTACTCAGCTGTTTTTCCATCTTCTTGTCTTCAGGGTTTCTGCCAAACTACCTCCTGCCTGACTATGAAGAGGTGGTCAACCGGCCACCGACCCCTCCCCCTCCCTACAGTGCCTTACACACAGGCCCATCCTCAGTGGCTTCGAGTCCACTTGCCTCAGAGCAGCAGGAGGGACACTGTCCAACCATCCAGCCCACTCCAGTGCCCCAAGTCTCTGACAGTCTGTGTTGCAGACCCAGCATAGAGGAGCCACAACCTCCCACTTTAGACTTTAGGCCAAAGCCTGACAACAAGCCCATGCAGACAGCACAAGATTCAGGCATGATACTGTTGTCAGATGGGCTCAATAGGGAGGGACTCACCAGCCAGGAAAAAAGAAGCGGAAGTGGGGAAGAGTCCTGCAAGGACCCGTTGCTGAAAGACCTGTCAGAGGGTTGCGCTGAGGACAAAGATCGACTCCCCAATGGAAGGAGGAGGCGATTTACAGGGGACTCTGGGATTGAGGTGTGTGTGTGCGGCACACGTGGAGGCAGCAGTTGTAGTGGAGCAGGAGAGACAGGCCAGGAAGGCAAGGAGTTGAGGGAGCTAGAGAGCCTCCTGGGGCGCGAGGGAGACGTTGACGACGACGAGGAGGAGGGGGAGGAGGCGGGTGACTTCTGCGACAGCTGCGGTCATCGGGCCTCCTTCAGCGTGGAGGAGGAGCAGGTGCTGGGCGGGCTGGAGAGGCGGGCCGCACGTGGGCCTTCAGGATCTCCTCAGCCGGCTCAGCAGATAGGCAGCGGCTCGCTCCACCCTCCTGTGTGTCTCCTCCTCCACACCATCAATGAGCAGGAGGGGCCGCACCACAACACCAGCACTGAGCCGCAGGGCTGAAACACAGCTGACACACCATTGTCATCGAGGGAAGGAGAACACTTAGGACAGGACATGGAGACATTGCTTTCGTATTTGAGCAAGTATTTATGTCTAAATGCTTTCTAAGTGAGTATTTTTATGAATGTGTGCATCTTAGATAAAACAGGTGTGGGCGCAGGAAGGGGATTCTCAACTAAATAAGAGTGAGATCCAAAGGTTTAGAAAGCCTGGTCCTCCCCACACTGGAACAGTGGCCTTAACCTGTGTATTTTGGGTTATACTGGGGCAGTGCAAGCCCTTTAACAGCCTGTGGCAATTCAGACTTCTCACACTGCACACACGCACGCACACATGCGCACACACATACTTGCACACACACACACACACACACACATAGTCTGTCACATGTCCCTCATTTACAATGGAAGCTACTGACATAGTCAAAGACTTGATAGCTGAAGCTGTTATGTCAGAACAGGACGTTCACTGCCTAGGATTAATGCAGCTCTCTAAACACGCACACACACACACAAACACACACACACACAAACACACACACACACACACACAGCAGGAACATTTTCAATGAGTGCAATGTGGAATTGCCACAGTGTGTGTTTATGCAAGCTGATACTGTACAGGGACACCAGAACAAGACTGTGTGGGACATCCTGTTAGACTCTTGCTTCTCAAGTGCTTTTTCAGCGATTAAAAACCGCTCTGCCTTGTGTCTGTTTTTGTTGCTCTCTATCTGCCCCGCCAGTGATAGATGAGTATAAGTGCATTAACAGATCTTCATGTGAGCAGTTCCTATTTTGCACAAAATGTATTTATCCTCATAAATGAAGCTTTTGGCTAGAAAATCAAAGCAAAAGTTTTTCTTGTTCATAAATTCAGTCTTACATTGCAGTACATGATTAGTTTCTTATGGTTTTGTTGCAACATCTGTAAAAAATGGACCTCTGTGAATTGTTAGTGGGGAATGCAACACATTCTCTTTGTATACAATCATTTTTAAACTTAATTTAATGAATGTTTCTAGTATGTGCCTACCCAAAAAATGCAGAATGTTGATGAACAACAATAAGCCTCAGTGAAACTGAGAGACCATCAGAAAGCAAGTACTAAAACCAAGAAAACAATACTAAGCTTCTTAGAGGTTACAACTGAGACGGGCGACATCAGATGTGACACTTTTGTTAGTCACATCAGTATCTTACCACCTTCACCAGCTGTACAGTATGAAAAACAAAGATTTACTAAAGATTACTCTTTATGTTGGATTTTCATATCAGCACAATTTTTTACCATACTTTAGTTTTGGTATTCTATGATTAAACATTTCTAACAGCCTGCTAAAGAGTCCATTAAAGGAGATTTTGGTTAACTGATTTTTACCCGTGTGTGATGCTGCCAATCTCCTGCATTTGTGCTATTTAATCTGAGAAATTCTCCTTTTAGTTTGTGCACACAATACGTGTAATATGAAGCATTTAACCCCACAGGGTATTTCAGAACATTATTTCACTGACAGCTGCAGCTGTGGGGGTGAGGCATGAGAACAGATTGAAATTAATGTGTTTTAGATAAAGAATAAATGAGGAAACAAAGAATCAGATTAGGTAATAAAATAACAGTCTGATAGTTTTCTGTGTTTTTTTTGTAATATGTGAATATCTTAACAAGTTTTCACACAACAGGAATTTTCCGGAGAAGCATGTTTTTTTTATGATTACCAAAAGAGTTTTGGCACAAGATGTGATTAATGAGCAACTTGTGCAATTCTACATCATGGACATAAAACAAAGACCATTTAGAAAAAGCACTGAATAGTGTTGATTGATGATGGAAAATTGATTGGCCTCAGGTCATATAATGAACATGATGTGTGAAACTTTTTAAGTAAAATTTTTGTTTGCCCACTCTCTAAAATGCCATTGTGTCATGGAAATATATATTTTCCAGACCTTTTCTCGGAGCACACTCAAAAATGCACACATTGCAATGTCTGCTGAGCACAACTGTTTTAGCCATCAATCTCTCAGATTGATCTACATACCCTGAAACAATCTTAACAGAAGATGTTTCCCAAAAATTTCTAGCACAAGTTAAACTGTAACATGTGAACTTTATGTATTAACGGTAAGGTGATTGAAACCTGAACACACTCTAAAGTGCTTTATATGTTAATGCTTTTTGTGAACTAGAAAATGTAATTGTGGTACATGTAGTACAAAGATGAGCTATTTTTCATATCAGCTGAATCCTTTAAAAATTACTCAAACTGTATAAAATTTCAAAACCACTTTATATTTGCAAATTGAGTACAATATTCTGTAACATGTTTGTGAACCAAATAGTTACTCTCATCATTTTTTTATGAAATCATTAGCTTAATTGTTATGGACAGATTTTCTTTTGTCATTATGGGTATTATTATTTTTTCTGTTGAAAAAAGATTTAACTTCTTATCCTGAAGATGTGTGAAGGGTACATTTGACTAACAATACAGTAGTTAATTTGTTAACAAGATCAGGGGCATCTTGCCAAAGACACTTTTTATTTCTTCACTAGTGTGTGTAAGGTGGTTTTGCACATATTTTTTGAATGTTCTGATCATAAGCCATTTATTACAACTACCAAGATGGATGTATGTTAAATAAACATACTCTTAAATTCAGGCAGATTTTTGTGTCATTGTGGCTTTTTCATTACAGAGTGTTGTTATCATAACTGACTGAAGTTCTGTGCGAAGAACTGTACTTGCATTTCTCAATACTTAGACTAAATTAAAAATATATACATAACACAACATTTTCTTTGGACTTTGACTGTGTCAGCTGTGATTTCCTGCAGTGAGGGACAGGGTGTGCTGTTGAGCAAGAAGTCAACTGTGAAACTCTACTGTGGGACTGTGAATGTATCCATCTGCAAGATGCAAGATGCCCACTACAAGTAACGCCTACTGCAAGACACTCCAACTGTATGTAAGCCTCACTACAAGACACGCCCACTTCATGTGACGCCCACTTGATAGATTCCATTGGTTGAGTTTAACACCATTGCTAACCAAATCAGTATTTAGCCATTTGACCATTGCTGAATACTTCACGTGTCCACCATGTAGGACAAGGCAAGACAGGCCTGTAAACAAATGCAAGTAAATGGCAGTCAGACAACTACTGCAGCTGGATGGAGGAACTGCATGTGAGTTGGCACCCTCTAGTGGATGCATTGTTTAACTTCCATCCCAACGTAAAGGACGCGTGGGAGTATGTGGTCAGTGACGGTTATAACCATTAAAACATATGCATCTATTTTCATACGTAAAAGAAGCATAAATGAGCCATTAAGCTTACATGAGCTAAAACTTAATGTGGTGGAAAATATTTCATACTTGTAAAAACATTTTTCAAACATGAATTTGGCAGATTTTCTAATACTTCTGGATACATCCCTACATAACATAATTTAAGTGGGTGGCTTAAAGTTTGTAATGGGTATATAATGTTTCTAAACTGCCTGGAAAACTATTGACTATACTTAAAAAAAATTTAAAAAAAAAATCAAAGTTCTATCAAGAGCAGAAATGCAAGACAGCAAGACATTGAACCAAGAACAGAGATTAATAAACACATTTCTAAACAGTTGTTCTGTCCTTTCATCAGAGGAAGCTGAACTGGAAGTTTTCTGGCATCATCATCATCATCATCATCATCATGATCACAACCCATTTGAGAACTCAAGATGTCATCCATGCCTCCTTTTCTCCACAACTTGATGAATGCCACCAAATCACATCGCTCCATGAGGTCCTCCTTCTGCCGGCACCGCTCATTCAGTTTTCACAGTGTGGATACCTTTCAAATTACAGTAAAAGACAAACACTTTAGTTGATGAATCACGTATGTGCATGAATGTGTGCTTCAGTTGAGGACTATTGTGCGTTATCTTACAGTATTAAATGAACAAATTCCAACATAGCAATGTTGTTCTATACACTCTTCTGTACACTGTGTATTGTAGGAACCACATACTGTAAGTTTCTTGCATATTCATGGCTGGTGGGAGCGTCACTACGCGGGATAAGATCACACTTCTAACTTGTTTGTGATATGATCATTACATAGAGATTCTCTCCCTCTCTCTCTCTCACTGTGTGTGTGTGTGTCTTGTGTGTTAACAGAAGGTCCTCAGGCTGAATATCAGACACAACAAAGTGGAGGTAAGACATCAGTATAACAGCATCAACAAAACTAAGAACCTTACAAACAAACCAACAGCAACACTGTCAGTGGAAAATGCCTAATCCATGACAAAAAACGAGAAAATAGCAGTAATTGTGACACGACTGAGTCAGGATGATGTGTACACCACACAAGCTCTTCTCTGGTGAATGACCCTACCACCTGCCTCGTCCAGTCGGCTTGTTGGCAATCTTTTTTTTCTTCTTTGGGTTTTAAGGGCAGCTTGCATCTTAAATGTTGAACTACTGCCATCTTCTGGAGTTAGTTAACTCCTACAGTGTCGAGGATGTCCGATTTTCCTCTGTTCTCATTTGGAAGCTGACCAAGCATCTTCTGCCTTGTCCCCTAACACCACACTCCAGTACACTCTGTTAGCCCTAATCTTTTCATTTCATCCAGCATGTCCTTTCTCTGCTACATTTTCCTGCAGCAGTTAACAAGTATGTACTCTACAGTTTCACATACCTTGCAGTGATCATAAAAACCAGTTGGATACTTCCCTGTAATGTGAAGTGCACTGTTCAGATTATTGTGTCATAGTCACGAATCCTGTCTTGTATTTTCTGTAATGTAACTACATGCTCCACAATTCTCCCTCTTAGTATCATTTATCATCACAATAAGGTGGGACTTAAAGGTGTGCTTCCTTCCATTCTCTACAACATGTTCGCTTGAAAGGTCTGACCCTATTTTCACATGGATGGATATACCGCTCAGACAGTCCTTTATCCCGTTGAAAACGCTCCCTCTGACTCCCATAACATAATTTGATCAACAGCCCCTCTCGCCATATCATGTCATGTGCTTTTTCAACACCAAAAAACACTGTGGCCACTGACCCTTTGTTTACTTGAGCTTTTCTTACTTCATCCTCCAGTCCAGACACAACTCGATCCATAGTGCCCCTTCCTCTCCTAAATCCACTTTGGTATGTAGCCATCATACCTCTTTTCTCCATTGACCATCCACCACATCAATTTACAAACATGCGTTGTCAAGGCAATAAGCCTGTATTTTGTTGGATTACCGGCATCCTTACCAGGTTTACTTGGCACAATAATTATTGTTTCCTTCCAGCTCCCTGGGACTCTTCCATCTTCCCACATTTGATTGAATAACATTAACAACTTTTTCAGCCACTACATACTTAAATGTTTCAGCAGAATGTAGCATCATCTTTCCCTGGGGCAGTCCACCCAGTTTTAGTGCCTTTCTTCGTTCTCCCATGCTAAAAATTGGACATTTGGTTCATCCTCAGTGCTTTCCTTTCTCTTTAGTGCCCCCAGGTTTTCTATTCAGACTTGGTTTCTTGTTGTTAGTCCTTCCAGACCAGGCATGTCAATCAAACCATCCATAGGCTACCTCTCTTTGAGGCCCTAATAACTAATTAGTTATGGAATTATTCTCAAAATGACTACAGCACACTGATCAGAAGGAGAGAATTTAACCCACTCAAACACTTTTTTATGGAGCCTGTTAAGAGCCCGCCCCTAGCGGCCCTCAGTGGTATTGCACTTTGAGGCACTTCCGCATTGACTTCCCTTGTCAAACGTACAGTCTACGTCTAATCCAACGTTCCCCTCTCTTTGTCGAAGTCTGCTGTACTCCCTCCCAGTCAATGGCCGAAGAACACAGGTAAGAACTGCCTTGTACATCGTCTCATTTTCATGCAGCACTATAAGTTGAACGAGTGGCATGTGACAGATTTGAACCTTCACCCATAAAGTTCACGAGAGAGATAAAGTTAGTTGAGTGACATAATATCACAGTATTACACTATTATACTTAAAACTTGTGGAGTGCAACTTAGTTGGTGCATAGTTAACTAAGCATGTAATTCGAAGTTAACGTGTAGCTAACTAATAATTTCTTTTTCAAGTGCACGTGCCAAAGGTTTCGTCGATAGCACCGTTCACGTGGATGTCAAGGTGATTTAACGTGCATCAAATCATATTTTTGTAGTTCAACTGTATTCTGTAACGAAAACGTAACTACTGCTTTGAAACGGCGTGTTATTGGTCAGTTCTGCACTGCCAAACTACCTGTTTTATACTAACTGATGACAACCCGCTGTATGATGAGGAGACACTGTTGCTGACATGTCTGTGCTCAAACAGGATTATTATGGCAAGAGGCTGCAGAAAAGCTCAGACCTGCAGAGCAACGCCTGTGTGGCTCCAGCTACGCCCATACCTGCCTTCATCCGCCAGGCTCTGAACAAAGTGCACCATGAAGTGACTGCCAGGTTTGTAGGGCTGCTGTTGCACTGTCTCCTCTTGTATTCACACTGCAAGAATAGAATAGAAATAGAATAGAAAGCCTTTATTTTCATTGTACAGATATACAACGGAATTCGGAGAGCTACTCCTGATCAGTAAAGAAAAAGAAACACACAACAATAGAGAAAAGGACAACAATAAGGATATTGCACTTAAAAGAAAAAAGAAGAAAAGTGCTTTGGGTAATTATATTTACAGTGAATATTAAGATGGTGGTGATTCAAAATAGGTTAGCAGATGATGGTTGTGAGTGTAAGTTTGTGGAGTCAGAGTCAGAGTTCTGATGGCTCAGGGGAAGAAACTGATACACAGATACTTACATTGTGTTTATTTCTACTTCAGGTATTATGGCTGTGGTCTGGTGGTGCCAGAGTGTCTGGAGGGTTGCAGGATACTGGACCTGGGCAGTGGAAGTGGGAGGGACTGCTACATGCTGAGTCAGCTGGTGGGCGAGAAGGGCCATGTCACTGGCATTGATATGACTGAGGGCCAGGTACTGTACATTAGCTCCACAGTATGTCTCACTGATTGGCTGCAGTAGCATCTTGGTGCATACATGTCGCTTGTGGTTAAATGATGTATGGTTAACCTAAAAAATAGCCCTAATGAACATTATTGAAGGCTGTTACTGGCTTGTAAGCTGGAAGACAAAAGTCTGCTCCTCGGTATTTATGTACTGCTCAAGACTCATTCTCTGATCAAATAGCTTGTCATTTACCGCTGTGCGCTAAGCTTCAAATGCAGCCAAATGTAGCCTCCAGACAATCAGAACCACAAGACTGTTAAAAATATAACATACCCCCAACAGAGACTTCATAGCCTGCGGTCTCTTCTAGCTTGAAGTGGCCAGGACATATGTGGACCACCACATGCAAGAGTTTGGCTACAAGAAATCCAATGTAAGTTTTGTCCAGGGCTACATTGAGGCCCTAACGAAGGCGGGTCTAGAGAAGAGCTCATTTGATATCATCATGTAAGATGTCTTTGTTACCTCAGTTTCATATTTTAATACTGTGTAATTCTTGAGATATTGTGCTAAAATGTTGATTCTCTGCCATCCCTTAGTTCCAACTGTGTGGTGAATCTGTCTCCAGACAAGAAGCAAGTCCTGGCTGAAGCCTACAGTGTACTAAAGGTACACTGCTTTAGACTTTTTAATCAAATCTCACATACCATGACAACAATGCCCTAAATTAAGGCAAAAAAAGCTTTAATTATGAGCCATTAAATCTATTTGCATTTATACTCACTGCATACACTGTCCCTCTGTTGGATCATTAGAACGGTGGTGAGCTGTACTTCAGTGACATCTACAGCAGTGGAAGACTAACAGAGGAAATTAAAAATCACAAAGTGCTGTGGGGTATGTCAGATTAATAATACTGCCATAAAGGATCACAGTCACCTGACAGAATATGAGAGTGTGGTTTGTCTTGGCAGGAGAGTGCCTTGGCGGTGCGCTGTGGTGGAAGGATCTGCTACGATTGGCTGAGGAAGTGGGCTTCAGTCCCCCACGGCTGGTTACAGCCAGTGTCATCACTGTCGACAACAAAGAGCTGGAGGATGTCCTGGGTTTGATGCTATTTCCTCTCTCTGAGACATATTTATTTCTGTTTGTGTATTTGCTTGTTTCTGTATCTGCTTGGCTCAGGGTGGGTTGCACTAATGAGCAATAATAGTATAAAAGTACAAAAACACATTTTATGATTATATCCAAGTCAATTGAAGCCTTTTCTAATTATGCATTACTGTTTATTTTCACCTTAGATTGAACCAAAAACTAAAATTCTTGCCCACCAACACAGTTGTTTCCACTTATTTTTGCTAATTAGACTTCTGCTCACGTTGAAGAGGGTGCAGAATTGTGGGAGGTAAACCAATACTGTCTCACAGTAACAGATGCAACAAAGCTAACGAGGGAGTGACAGAGATTGCAACCAAGCACAGTTTGCACACGACCACGCAGTCCTTGGAAGAGGTCTAATTAGCCCTAATAAGTGGAATCCTCTGTGTTAGTGTACCATTGGCGTGTACTCCCTGTAAGGTTTGTGCAGGTTTAGTGATAGGTCATTTGGTTTAATTTTATGAGTAACAACACATTTACCGTTTCCCTCACTCCTAAGGGACAAATATGGCCATGCATCATATTTTTTCTTGACAGCAATGTTTTTCTGGTCACTAAATACCTACTGGGCCACAAGTTTTCTCAGAGGAGTTTCATGTTTATGGAATGAAATATACACTCTGTAGTAATTTTGACAGTGGACTATGGCAGTTAGTATACAAGAAATAATTGTACAGAACTGTTTTTGTATATAACAGGAAATAATCCAAGACATTAGAACACTTCTACCAATTTTTAATGTGAATTCTGAAATTAACATTTTCAGTTTTTGCAGTGTATTATATATAGATATCAGGTATATTAAACACTAGGTACCAAATTGTGCAATTTTAATATCTATGCTATTATTTTTAAGAAGGCGTCATTTTGTAATTTTTTGCTAATGTGAATGGTGTCTTCATTATTCACTGAAACTTGTCTTTAGATTTAGATTTTCATAATTACATATGATTATGACTCATTTAGACTTATAAAGCAAGGGTTAGATTTAATTTACACAGCACAGCTCTGTTTAATGATTAATTCGGGTTTATGTATGATAAAGGTGACTTCTACTTAACTCTGGCTATCACTGTTTGTGCAACACAGCCTAAGGGTTAACAGTTCAGTATTTGTAGTGCACATGACATAGATTTTTGCATTTCATTTAATTCTCTCTTACCGATTCTGGCAATACAGGTGACTTCAAGTTTGTCTCTGCCACGTACCGCCTGTTTAAGGTCCCCAAAGGCAATACCAAGCCCTGTCAGGTTATATATAATGGGAACATTACTGGAGTGGAGGACAGCTTCCAGTTTGACTGTCAGTACACATTCAAGGTCTGTAGATCCTGCAGTACAGGTGAAGCTGTTAAATGTCACATGTACTTTATGTTAAATGGTGTCAAATATGTATTTCACAGGTCAGTGAAGTGGTGGAGGTGGATGGAGAGGTGGCCAGCATCCTTACCCATTCTAGATTTGCGGAGGACTTCACTTTCCAGCCACCTGGAGGCCCCTGTGGGCCCTGTGGAGTCAAACCTAAGGTCAGTGTCACAACTAAATTCTTACATGTGAAATGTGTTTGTCGAATTTGTCTTTGAGCGCTAGAGGTCAGTATGTTTGTAGTATTAGTTTGAAGTGTGTGACACACCCAGAGAGCCCAGAGTGCACACAATCACACATGCATGTGTGCACCAGGACGCATGCTGCAAATTCTTAATTCTTACACACACACACACACACACACACACACACACACACACACACACACACACACACACACACACACACACACACACACACACACACACACACACACACTCACTCACTCACATACCCACTCAAACATACGTACGCACACATCCACACGCACAAGGTCAAGCAGCTGTCTTGGAGTCATAACCAGACTGTGGAGTCATGCTGGGGAACCTTGAACAGGAAGGAATGTTCCCTTCTCAACTAATAGAATACCATCTTATCAGCTCTCATGGTCATTCTGCACACACACACACACACACACACACACACACACACACACACACACACACACACACACACACACACACCACTATACATTTTTCAGTGACTACACTAATCCTTTAATCACTCATGACAATTCCATTCTGGTATTGATGGGTTTTCATTTTGTTTTTGTGGAGCAATGAAGTAAACTAGAAATCTCAGTGATTTATCAAAATCTGTCCCTTGGTTTAACCTTTGGACTGCCCCTCTGAAGTGAAATGTGGACCGAGATGCTTTATTTCAATCAACGCGGCCAGTTGGTGATAATAGCAATAAAAAGCCTTTGGTCTTGTTCTAAAAAGCACAGCTACTGTGAAATGCTGATATAATGAACAACCAGCGTCTGATAACAGAGACACTGAGTTGTACACCAGCAGTAAACATTCATTTAAAAGCTAAGTGTACAACAACATTTTATTCTGCTGTTATACACAATGTTCATCATATTAACTGGTGTTAATAATAATACTGGAAAATAAGAAACTTTTCTACATTTCTTACAATTGAGATGAAATGCAGGTATTATGTAACACTTCAAAGGAAACCGAACACAGGTTGTAATCTCCTAATGATTTCTACCTTGTTGACCTATTAATACAGGCTGACATTGTGGATCCTTTCGAGCTGGTCCTTCAGCTGGAGAAACGGAGTCCAGGTTCAGCCACAGGGGGGTGCTGCAGCACACAGTCTGCTGCCTGCTGCAAGTGATGGTTGGAAGAGCACAGAGAAATACAGGCCCAGCACCAGCACCTTGATGATGGTTGACTATGTACTAAATCAATTGTGCCTTGAGCAGTGTCAATATGTTGACTTGACTTTGATAATTAACATGACTGAAATAATATTTATTTAATTGATAATTATTATTTGAATTAATATTCAGTTGCAGCAATTTAAATGAATCCTTGCTTACAAATAAACATGTGTTGTGGTTGTTCTGTGCACACTTCCCACTCAGTCTCCTCTGGTGGAAAAAAATGAAAAAACAATTTGATTTATTCAGATAACAATGTTGCTTAAACAAAATGACTTTGGCAGTGAACATAGGACACTTCAAAATACATAGTTGTCTTCTCTTTAAGGCTCATTATTTTCCCCATTTATCTGTTGTCTTGAACATCTGAATCTGTGCTAGTCACTCCTTCATGATGATTGTTCCATCTTTGCCAACAAATGACTCTAGTTCAGTTTCAATACCTCTAAATTTAACTTTTTTTCTAATTACTATTATGATTGATTTTTATATTATATATAAAATATGTTCATTATTATGTGGTTATTTCTAATAAGGGAAAATAAATATTTCCAATCAATTGAATATCCTATTTTCATTTTTGCACATATCTTTTTGTGGGTTTAACATGAATACTGCATAAAGAGCTTTTAAGACAGGAATAATGCAATTTGTATTTGAAATAGCCCTGTAGATACAGAAAGTTGGCCACTGGTGTATAGACACTGTAACTATATACTGTAATGGCAATAGTTCACAACCTGGGTGTCAAGACTGACAGATCAAATATGGTTAAGAGGATAAGAAATTATAATAAAAGATTACATAAGTAATTATTTTAAAATTATGTTTTTAAAAAACTGTCATCTGCTTTTGCTTTTCATTGTGAAACACTGAATATTTCTTCAGATTTCTCCTCAAATCTTTCAACTTAAACAATCTGACAACGAAAAATTATTCTTTGGTTGAACTGCTTATAACTCATCCACATCCAAATTAAAGACCTATATTAACCTGCCAGGAGGGATCACAAGTAGATGGGTACTTCATTTTAAGGGGTCACAGGTCACAAAGTTTGGGAACCATGAGTGAAAGGGGAGATTTGGGTTACTGCAGTAGGACAAAATTGCATCAGCATGCCGTAAAATAAAATGTGTAATGCAATGTAAAAAGTAAATAAATGAAAAACAAACATTACTATCTGACAGCCTGAAGATAAATGCAGCATTATGTGGTTGTATTTTTTAGAGTACTGAATTGCATTATATTGTAAAAGTGGTTGCATCCATCCTAAGTGGTATGTCAAACTGACAAGTATATTTTGGTCATGTACAGTGGTTATCTCCTGTAGTAGGATATATGTTAAAAAAGTCACGAGTAGAGTCCTGTCTGTCTCCTAACATGAGGTGCACTTGTTTTGGAATTTGATTCGCCAAGGAGGCTGCGAACGCCCCGCCCCCTGGCCAGCGGACCCTTCTGATTGGTCGCCGCCGTCGCCTGTCTCGGGGACATCAGGGGAGGCACGAGTTGGCCCATAAGCCTGCGCTCGCGAGTCATCAGTGTCGGACACGTAGTGGGAACGAGCAGGTCCCGATGCACAAGTCACGGCGACCCTCGGCGGAGATGAAGGCGGACTCCGACTGGCTTTGATTTTTAACAGCCCTTTTCATTCAGGAGGTTGGTTGCCAATGGTTATCAATATGGCAGAGCCGTTATCCCAAGCACCCACTGCTACAAAAATGGCGTCACTTAACCGGGTCCGAGCTTTGGCGATGATTTTCTTAACTGTCACTGGCTGTTGTGTCGCCCCGACAAGTGGCAAGGAAGGGTCCGAGGAGACCGTCATCATAGGGCTCCGACTGGAGGACACGGACGACATTTCCTTCATGGCTAAGGGCTACCTGCGGGTGAGTGAGCGGTCTCGGGTGAAATTAAGGGTGTATGGGCAGAACATCAACAACGAGACCTGGTCCAAAATTGCTTTCACGGAACATGAGCGGAGCCGGGCAGTAGGGAGCGTTGACAGCTCCTCGGGGGATAACCAGAGCCAAGAGGACCCGTCCGGCTTGCATCCCTGCGGCATTAGGACTTCGGATATAATTATATTGCCCAACATCATCCTGAATCGAAAGACGTCCGGAATAGTTGAAATTGAGGTCAAACCTCTGCGAAAGACGGAGAGGAGTAAAGCGTATTACCTTTGCATCGCCACCTCCACACCGGCTGTGGCTGGGATGCACGACCCGTGGACGGAGAACACTTGGATCTACCACGATGGGGATGACACCAAAGTGATAGTGGTGGAGGAGAAAAAGTTTCTGCTGCCTTTCTGGCTCCAGGTTATCTTCATCTCCATGTTGCTTTGCCTGTCGGGTATGTTCAGCGGGTTGAACCTGGGGCTCATGGCTCTGGACCCCATGGAGCTCCAGATAGTCCAGAACTGCGGCACGGAAAGGGAGAAGAATTACGCCAAAAAAATAGAGCCGGTCAGGAGCCAAGGGAATTACTTGCTTTGCTCGCTCTTGCTCGGGAACGTGTTGGTGAACACCACGCTGACAATCCTGCTGGATGATATCGCCGGTTCGGGTTTGATTGCGGTGGTCATGTCCACCATTGGAATTGTAATTTTTGGAGAAATCGTGCCCCAGGCCATCTGCTCCAGACATGGCCTCGCGGTCGGTGCCAACACCATATTCCTCACTAAGTTCTTCATGCTGCTCACCTTCCCCGCTTCTTACCCTGTGAGCAAGCTTCTGGACTACCTGCTCGGACAGGAGATAGGAACCGTGTACAACCGTGAGAAGCTTCTGGAGATGCTGCGCGTCACGGACCCCTACAACGACCTGGTGAAGGAGGAGCTGAACATCATCCAGGGTGCGCTGGAGCTCAGGACTAAGACCGTGGAGGACGTGATGACGCCGCTGAGAGATTGCTTCATGATCCCTGGGGATGCCACCCTCGACTTTAACACCATGTCCGAGATCATGAAGAGCGGCTACACGCGCATCCCGGTCTTCGAGGGCGAGAGGTCCAACATAGTGGATCTGCTCTTCGTCAAGGACCTGGCCTTTGTGGACCCGGATGATTGCACCCCACTCAAAACCATCACTAAGTTTTACAGCCACCCGTTGCATTTTGTGTTCAATGACACCAAGCTGGATGCAATGCTGGAGGAGTTTAAAAAAGGTGAGACAGATAGTTACACCAGCCATATTTTCTCCTTTATTAAAACTGTGAGTGTGAAAAGTTTTCAGTTGACTCACATCAAACCTTGACACCTAAATATGACATTATATCTATTGTTCTAATGCCAATTGAAAAGCTCACTATATAAAAGGGCCAGACAGCCCTCTTGATCCTCAAGTGATAAAGTTAATTGCACAAACAGGTTAGCCGTTCACCTGTCCACCCTCTCCTTGGAATTGGCAGGACAGACAGAGTTATGTAACATTACATCAGGTATTATAATACTAGGAGCCACAGCTCTTTCCTTCAGTATGCACTGAATGCCTGTGCTGCTCTGTCCATCTATAGGTCAAGCTGTGTTTAGTGAATCCAAAATGTCTAAAACCTGATTTTCAGGAATAAAAGGAGGAGGATGAGGAATTCTTGTCCCCTACAAGATTTCACAAGAAATTCCAGGTAGTGAAGAATAAAGAGAGAGAGGAGGAGGATGGGGTTGTTTAGGCACTTCTTATCAGGCCTGCCTCACAAAGCACTGAAGCAGCCACATCAGTAGTGAGGTGCACTTGCCACAGCTTCACTGGCCACTTCCTGTGAAGGGGAGGAGGAGGTGTCCTTATCTTTCTCCATCGCTTCCATTCAGTGTTAATGTTCACACGGTCTCTTTCTCTTTCTCTCTCTCTCTCTCTCTCTCTCTCTCCTCATGCTCTCTGTCTTGCTTTCCTCCTCTTACCTTGACCTCCTCTCATTCATTCACCTTTTTTTTACTCTTTCCCCCTCCCTCCATCTCTCTCTGATTTGTGAATGCATTAGGACATGTGGGAATGGTGCAACGGCAATGCTAAGGTTATCAGGTGGGGGCATCTTGTTTGAGAACCTGCTTAAATCCCTCTCTACCTCTCTTGTGCTTGCCTCTGAGTGATGGTGGCGATAACTCCTTTTGCCCAGCCCTGGAATGCAGTCGTGTGGATAATGAATAACAGCCTCTAACACCCTCGAGCCCCCCATGTGTTGTGTGTGTGTATGCGCATAGTGTTTGAGAAAGATGTTTACCTCACCCATGGTTTACCTGATGTTTTGCATAGCCACCCCCCCTCTCTGTTGTTGCCTCTGACTTAGTTATTCCTGGCAGTGTTTGTAGATTTGGTACAAGTCTCTTCTCTCTTTATGGCCAAATATTCAGCTATAAGAGTGTCACACAGGCATACCTGTTCAGCAGCTGATTTATTAATACTTAAAATGTGAAAAAAGCATGATTGAGGCATTGCATGCTCATTAGAATATTCACTTTACTTTAAGAGGATTAATTGGGGGCAGAACAAATCATTGAGCTCCATTACCAGAAATTAGGTGTAGTTCTCCATGCCAAATTAGTATTACATAATATACTAGTTGGGGGGGTTTGTTTGTTTTCATCACAGCTAACTATTTACAGACATGCACTAGTTTTCTGAGTAAAGTAAAAGTTATTGTACTGCATTGTCTCATGTTATATTATTACAATAATAATATTACAGAACATGACCCCATGCAGTATCTCTTACCTCATTGTTGTTACATTTTATTTTATGTTAAAGTTGATAGTGAACAGCTGATGGTCAAGATGCTCTGTGCTTGTGTGCCCCTGTGTGTTTATGTTGTTGTGAATTAAATATCTTAGGGCTTTGACTGCTGGTCAGACAAAACAAGTAACGTGAAGGCGACGCCGTGGACACAGGGAAATTATAATGCGCATATCGCACTATTGTTTGACATTTTATAGACAAAACAATTAGGTAAATAAATTGAGAAAATAATTTGCCGATAGCTGCAAAAGCTTGGAATAAGTGTTACTGAAGTGTGACAACAAAGTTTGCTGTGCTGGTGCAGGATCAGTGACCGGCAGCAGACTGCTGCTCTACTTTGTTATCAGTTGTTTTGACCAGAAAACACCTGTTCTGGTTATCATCCTTAAATAGAAGCAAATTGCAATGAGAAAAAAAAACAATATTGAAATTTATTGTCCTTGAAGAAGTTGTCATGACCCGTTATTTTGTTGTCTAAATTATTAATGCTAAAGTTAAACTAAATGAGCTATTAAGTGTAGTCAGTCATGTAGTCTGGAGGAATATTTGGAAATAGTGTTATAGACTTTGTGGTAGATTAATAGTACTACCACACTTTTATGTAATGAACTTTATTCACAAAATCTAAGTTTCCATCCAAGGTGTTGTTTTGGTTTGGGGCATGTGTGTGTGCTTGTTCTGCCCTCACCACATACCCCAGTGCATCAGGTCACTTCTCATCTTTTCTTTAACCCAAACACTAATTACATACCTGCTAACTATGTACATGACCTTCATCTGGGTCCTGGTACATGCTGGAGTCTGTGTAACACATCTAAACACGTCTACCACGTCTAAATTAGAGTTAATGTTGTCAGTTGTACAACTTTGTGCACACTTTGTGTTTGAAACTGTGAGCATGGGTGGAAATGTTTTTTAAATGTTTTTACTACACACAAAGAAGTATATCTTTATCATTATCCTGCATGCTAGCAGGTATGTTAGCTACTATAAAACAGGTTTTTGTTATGATTACCATAATATTAATTAGTCCAATAATGTAGCCCTAGCTGATGCTTGTTGAATAACAGCCTGAAACATAAATGAAGTCACGCTCAACATGTCACGTCTGCACGAGCTTCATATAAAACGTGTAGTAAGTGCATCTCTGACTGAGGTTAAAATCAACTGGCAGTTTAATTGTTTGTGCTTAGGCATCTGTCTTGTTTACTCAACTTAGTGGCATTTTGTGAATTCTGTTTCCTGCCACTAAAAGGCAAACACGTGACATGTTCACACCATTTATTGCCAACATACTTCATCTTTAGGTCCAGTTCTGGTGTGTAGTGGCTGAGGCAGAGTGTTTCTGCGGCTGGCCCTGCGCCAGAGGGAATTCGCCTTTCAGCTTCTCATGGAAGTCATAAGCAACTGTTGTAGGGAGGGCTGCAGGGTCAAAGTTTCCTGTCAATCTGGCTCTGTTCGCAGCGCACACTCAGTTCAAAGTGCTTTGTATTGTAAGTCATTGTTAATTAATTTAATGCCGCTTGCGGAGCTGCATAGTCGTCTGAAGTCTGTTACAAAAACGAAAAACCCACAACATGTTGCTCATATTACAGACTGTGTTGGAGCAGCTGGCGTTGCTTTGCATTGGATCTGAACTTTGTGACAAGGTGTTTTCTCTGTACAGTTGGGATTTTGTAGGGGATTCTTTTATGCTCACATTCTGAACTTTATAACATTACATAACTTGCAATACTCATATAATACTCATATGATACTCATTCTTCCATTCATTTAGACTTCTAATCTACCCAGAAATGACACTAAATTAATGTTGCCCAAAAGAAAGCAGAAATATGAAAGAAAGTCAAAATTCAGATCTTGATCCTCGCTCCGTGCCTATTCTTAAGTTTTACATGGCTCGACCCAGGCCCTAGGTCAGGGGTTACAGTTAGCTTCACGTGGGAGCTTTTTAATTCAGGCAGACACCCTTCTGGAAACTTCTGACCCCTTCATTAATTGCTCTCTGTCTGCGATTGCAACAATTACTGTCATCCAGGGGCTGCTTGTCAAGCTGCAGGTTTACCGGTTAATGAGTGGGTCAATGTGTGCCATTTGGGAGCCAACCAAGTAGTTGAGTCAGAAACATGAATTTAGCTGCCCTTCTGACTTCAAGTTATGTGTGATATTTCTGAAAGTGAAAGTTATTCGCTCACTCACATGCAGGGTAACTAGCCTTGTGAGAGGAGGAAGGCATCAACTGTGAGGAGGTTTGGAGACCTCAAATCAGGTTATGCACAGGTATTCTTCTCCACCACACTGTGTTTTCTGCCCCTGGGGAAGGCAGGCCACTTGCCTAACTTGTATATGGGAGTCCAGAGCGGAACTGGGACTTGACCCAGCAGAAGCAAAGAGAACTTTTTTCCCCTCAGTTGTCTTTCTGCCTTGCTAAAAACAGGTCACAGACACAAACACTCACTCCTTCTTATCTGCAAATCGTAAACTATGTGTATACATTTATTTAGTTTATGCACCACTTGTCGTTGGTGTAGTGTTTCATATTTGCGCTGTTATGACAGGTCTACGAACTATTGTGCAAATATGACACCGCGCTCATTTTAAAGCTGCCAATTTGGGTTTTTTTGTTGTTTTTTTTTTCATTCACATTAGCAGTACTCCTCACTCATCGTAAAACCTGTAGAATATCCTAATGGTAAATTACCGAAATAGCCCAGCGTATGTAAGCTTCACTGTTTGAGAGTAAGGTCCCCAGTGTGAAAGAGCCTACATGAGGCCTGGCACGTCTTGAACTAGTTTCCCGATTGCTGCAATATAGGCCAATCTATGCTTAATTCAGATTCAACAGCCTTCACGGTCTCTTTGCTCAGTACTTTGTCTTAAAGTGAAACTCATTTTTCTCTCTAATGGCCTTATTGAAATACTTCCAGCAGTTTTGTGTTTTGCTTCAGATGGTTTTATTCTTTCTGGGTGTTTGTGTGGAGCGTATCATAGCAAATGTCTAGAAAGCGTGTTGGAGTGTTTGCCTGGTAACCCTTGGTGCTAACGCTGCAACAAGTGTTGGGATTAAATGGCATCATGTTGGTAAGAACACTTAATGTTTCCTGATGAGGGACACCCCTTTGAACTCAGCAAGACTTCTCCTGCCAGCCGCTCACTTTATCAGAACTAATTACCTCGAATCAAAGGTTGTCTGCTTTTCACTATACTTTGTGTTACAGGAGATGGTATTAGTAGTACATTTTCTCTTGTAGGGAATGTTTTTTGATACAAAAGTATTTACATGTAGCAAGTACATGTCACAAACAGTGTAGCATAGTGTTGTTCATTTAAAAATGTTTATTTAAAGACTTTTTAAAAAATCACATCAGCTGTGTTTTGTGCTCATTTATTCAGGAACCTGTCCTGCCTTGTGGCACTGAAGCCTAACTACATACTTAA